TGTCCAGGAATCAGAATCGATTCTAATTCGATTAACGATTAAAACGATTATTATAGAATCGATTTACAGCCCTAGTTTGCATTATGTGGGATCTGACATTTGGGTCGGCCCGTTGTCTTTTTTCATTTTCTTTTTTCATTTTCTTTTTTTTTGTCGATCTTATCAGGTAATTTCTCCTTTTTCTCCTTTTTCTCTTTTTTTTCTTTTTCTTTTTTCTGTCGGTCCTATCGGATCATCCCGGCTTCGTCGGGTGAAACCGGATGTGAGGACGAAAAAAACAAGTAGCAATAATAGAACAATTGGTACAATTGGAATTTAAAAAAAATCGAATAATTGAAAAAAATGGGCTAGCCGAGTTATGCAAAGTGAAGACCAGCTTTGCATACTATCAAAATACTGTATAAAAAGTCATAAATTATGATATTGCACGTTGCAATGAATACTAAATTCTTTTTAACTTTCTTTTTTTTTTTAAATGTCAGATTAGTGACAATCGCAATAGGATCTTTAATCAAGTTATTCCCGCTAACCTGCTATTTAAAAAAATGGGTAGAGGGGATGGTGCTTATGCACGATAAAATATGGTAAATTTATTGTACAATCTATAAATGGCTTAACTAGAGGTGCCCGAGTAATTTTACAATAAGTCAAGTCAAATTTGTAGCACCTACATTGATGCATTTACTTATTATTTTTTCAATTTATGCTATTTAATTCCCATGAGACTTTTTCAAAAAACAACACGCATATCTGAATCAAAATCAAATAGCCAATCGTGTAAATATTTTTCTGGTAGGACTATCTCTCATCTGGGAAATACTTTTTAATAAAAAAAGAAAAATAATATGTAATGAGTATTTTGCCTGCAGCTTTCGTGCAAATACATGTCATGCTGCAGCCTTAAAGGGCATTGGATGACTAATTTTCTTTCTAAATTGGTTTATTATGAAACCGGTTCAAAAACCGATGTGGGTTTACATCTTTCTATCTCTATAATACAATTTTTCACTTCGACTCGTCAACCCGCAAATCAGCCCATTCGTTTGAAAGGAATGATTGTCCTTATATTCCTAGTCAAAATAGATTTCAAGAAATTAAAATCAGAAACCATTGTATTTATCATTTGAGTTACAGTATTTGTCAATTTAAATTATTGCCACTTATCATATTTTACTAATCTATAGAAGTAAATTGAAGGCGTGATTTCCAAAAACATGCTACTTTTTATACGTATCCCATCAATCTGTATCATGTTACAACGTAATGGCCGTACAGTCTGCAAATGTCCCCTTTGAGATCTAATTGGCTAGCCTTGCATATACAGGGTTTACTATTTTTTCCAACCACTTTCACCATTTCTGATTGGTTCTACTGATTATTCTAATATAGGAGTATCTATGTTATTAATCAATTTTATGAAACTCCGATAGTCAAGTGGTGCGGAAAATTGGTAAACCCGCACATAAGTGCACAAAATTTCGGCATGTTGTAACTTGCTTTGTTCGGCAAATGAGATTTGGAAAATTCTACGAAACCGACTAAGCATGTTTTTTTATATGTAACCTATTGATATACAATATTGTTGATTTAAACGTTTGTATATGTCACATTGTAAAGGGGTGGATTTGGGAATACAAGTCACTTTCGTTATAGTGAACCTTCGATATAGTGAAGAATGAAGAACTTTTTCAGAATAGAATCATTATTAATAAAATTTTGTTCTATATAATGAAGTTAAATAGTAAACTCTCGATATAAGCTATAGTGAAAAATTTTATAACAAAATGTTTATATTATAGTGAAGATTTTATTATATAATATTTTATTATCCAATCAAATTAATAGATTTTTTGTTATATTGTTATATATAATATATTTGATTATTGTTTTTATTATATTGAAAGGCAGTGAATCTCTCAATATAGTGAAGAAATTTTTACAGCCCGAGGACTTCACTATAAAGAGAGCGACTTGTAAATGGGATTCACGGCTAAAACCCAACCTAAAATCTGGCAATTCGAAAGAAGGCGTGCAAGATTTGGTTTGAGAACCAAGACCCCGGCGATTGTTATTTAATGGTCTTTCAATTATCAATCAATCAATTATGTTGCTGCCATTTTAAAAATATTTGATTAGCTAAAATTAGCGTTAGCGCAAGTCAAAAATCTAAAATATAAATACGTCTTCATTGAAATCCTCTATAATTATGGGAATGTGTTCTACATACTGCATAAATTGCATTCTTGATATCTGTATATAAAATCATTATATAGCTACATCAAAAGGAGTAATCCTAACTCCGCTTTAGCCACCTAGATAGATTAGACATGTCACAAAAAATTGGTAGTGACGTATTTCTGTATTCGGCTATTAAATTTTGGATTTAGTAGATTTCGCCGACAACCGTTTCACCGACGGCCATTTGCCAACAACCATTTCCCCGACAACCCATTTCCCCGATAGTTCATTTCACCGACAATCCTATTTTGCAGGCTTTATATTTCTATCCAACACAAACTATGAAGCTGGTCAATCCTACCCAAAATCGGGCCAAAATTGCCGTCGAAATAAACTGTCAGGGAAATAAGCTGTCTGGGAATTGGTTGTCAGGAAAATGGGCAGTCGGAAAAATAGGTTTTCGGTAAAATGGCCGTCGGCGAAACGGTTGTCATCAAAATGGTTGTCGGCAAAATTGGTTTATACCATTAATATTAATTTTATACTTGCGTATAATTTGGGATCCAAAAAAAAGGTTTTACAAAAAATTCGCAAGAACTTTTTAGATCCAGAATAATAAGTATAAAATTAATAGCCTGAATGACTTGTAGATCACGTCACTGCCAATTTTTGCGACATGACTTAAATAGATCTAAACTACAGAACAATCTAAATATATAGATACTAAAAGAAGCTAAAAAACTAGAGGTCTCATATCAATCAGAAGAAATTGAAAAGAATCATAAAAGGAATCAAAATCATAAATATACTAACAGAAGAAGACAAGCAAAAATTTCTCCAAAACAAAAATTACAATATTTTCATATTAGAACAACTGCTTGATCAGAGTGAAACAAGAATAATAATATGAAAACAACTGAAAATATATAGAAGAACAAAAATAGAAGAAAGGAAAGCAAAATAGTTCTAAAAGCTAGAAGAAGAAGTAATTGAACATAGAAGAACAAGAAGAGTCAAAAGAAAATATCAAAAAGAAGGTAAAAACAGCATGAGTCTGAAGGTAACTCTAACTGAAATCAAGATAGATAGAAAACTCAAAGAATAGATCTTGCTTGAAAAAGAAAAAAGTACCCTCAAGATTGGAAGAATAATAAAGAAACATAGCAAGAAAAAGAAAATTTTTGACATAAAACATTAGGCAAGAGTAAAAACTAATGAAGATGATAGACTTAGAATCTAGCTATACAAAAGTTGCTTCAGAAATGAAGACAAAAGAAAAATTACACAATATTCTTTCACAAGGAAATTTTGAAGCAACAGAAGGATATTAAAAAAAAGTTGGGTCAAGCAGTCAATAATTAACCACAAAGAAAATGAAATTGAGCTTAAACCAGAAATATTAAGCTAGAAAGAAGAATTAGAAAAAGACCAGGTGTTGCAAGGTATATTTAAGAAGCACAAGATGAGATCAAAATAGAAACACAGTATAAAGAATTGATCAGAAATCAGGTAGAGGAGAAGAAGAGACAAGAAGACCTTATAGCGATTGCCAAAGTATTACAAGATATGGAAAGAATTAATTTTTACACAGATAGATCACTATATGAAGAAGAAGTATCCCAAAGAGCACAAATAGAAGCAGGCTAGATAGCAATTGCAAAGCACAAAAAAGAGAAGGAAAAAGAGAAAGCAAGGTTTAGTTATATGCTCAAGAAGTGGCCATCCTTAACAAAGCAGAACTAGAAGCTATCTGAACAGTATCACTAGTAGCACCAGAAGATACAAAGATAATAATATATACAGATAGTCTTACTTCTATATAGGTGCTTAAATACAAAAATGGTATAGAAAAAGAAAGAGAAGCATTCAAGCTCAAGAATGCAAGTTTTATACAGCAAACCCAAAGAATATAGAAGATAAAAAATATCAAAGTGTAGCTGAAAAAGGTCAAAGAATACAGCAAAAATATTTATAACGAAATTGCAGATAAGTTAGCAAAAAAAGAAACAAAAAAACAGAAAACAGTAACACCAAAGTGGCTATGGTCAAAAAGATCACATGTACTAGCAAGATAGAGAGATATTATGATAGATAGTCTAATAAAAAAAGTTGTAAACAAATTAGCTTTAGCAAACTTAGATGTGGAATGGGCAAATTTAGATAGAAATATTAGATAGATTAGCAGAAGTAAAGAGAAAGAATTTGATTTGGGTAAAACTTGAAGATAGATAGATGAGAACAAGAGGAGAAATTGTACAAGTGGAGAGAAAAACAAAAGGTAAACATTTTAAGTCAAGTGTCTAGGTAAGTTACTGCTAACCTTGACAGAACTAAACATAAGGAAACCTGAGATTTATTACTTGTATAATATATAAAGAAAAGGCAGAAGATTTAGATTATCTCATTAAATACAAAGAGCACCAAAACATATAGAATATTATTGAAGACAAAGCCAGCAATAAAGACCTCAAAGTACTCTGAAAAGAAATATGAAAAGAGACTTCAATGACAAAGAAGCAGTTAAAAAACTCTTCTTTAGAAAAACACAAGAAGAAAGAATAGAAATGAGAAGATATCTAGTAAAAAACCTTATAACTAAAGAGAGAAAAGCAAAAATCAAAAAGAAAATAGAGAATAGAAATACAAAACAAAAGGTGCTAGATACAATTAAAAAGAAGTTCAATGAAAAGTTCTGAACTTGTATATAGAACTTTAGATATGAACTAGTAAATGATTAGAAAAAAAGTAACTAAAACCAAAAGAAAAGAAGAGACAATAAGAAAAAAGAGACCAATTCAAAAATCAGAGGATAAAGAAAACAGAATCACAAAGAAAGAGAATCAGAGAAAAGCTCTTGAAAAAAAAGAGAAGCAAGTTCTAAATGTAGTGAAAGAAAATAATTAAAACCTAATTGTATCAAACCAAACTGGTTCTCCTAGACCAATATTACAAAAAAAAATAGTGATATCTGACAAGGTTGGTAGCTTTCAGCTAAAGATTAAAAGAACCAAATTCTCAGTAAGTTGAGAATTTAACATGAAGCAAATGGGCTGCTTAGGCAGGTCATACCTGGGCTTTAATGTTGAGTAAGTTTTATTAGTACAGGAATATAGTATAGAAAATTTATATTTAATTTAAATATAAAGTTCTGGTACTTCCAATTTAAATAATAAAAGCAAGATCACTAAAAAAAAAAAAAATATATATATATATATATACAAAAAAATCTATACTTTTCAAACACAACTAATATAACTTTTAAATTTTCTTTTTTTGATTTTAAGATGAGATTATATCTTTATCTTTATTAATATATATCATATATAAGATATTATATATTTATATTATATTGTATAAAATTAAAACTATTTTATTCTTAATCTAAATCTACTTAGATTTTGCTTTTTGATTATTTTTATTTGACAATTTATATATTTCTATATTTTATTTGCTTTATTAATAACTTCAAATTTAGTTCTGTTTTTTTAGGTAGTTGCTATATATATAACTTCTAATTTGGTATATTTATTATGAATTCTACTATTATTGGCTTGATCTATTTAATAGCTTGTATTTCAAGCTAAAACTCTGTTGTCTAATTAGGTTCTTATATAAAAAAGTTGGTTTTCATTATTAGCAAGCCTTCTATTTATTTTTCAAGTACTACTAACCTATATCTTAAGCTAAAATCTGCTATTGTAGTTGGTTTGTATATTCTAGAACTTAATTTATTATTTTCTGTAAACTAGTGATACTGGTTAATTTTTTCATAATTTTTCAAATAGTATAAATTATTATATAGGTAATGTGTTTTATTATAGACTTTTATATTAAATATAATTAGGGTCTATTGGTACTATTAAGTATATAGGAATTCAATAATATAACCAACTCTTTTTGACAATTCTCTAGTTAACAACAACAAAAAACTATATTACAGAAAAATACT